TTTTTTGTTTTAGTATTTTGAAGTTGACCAATTGTTACTATAAGCAATTAATGATTATAGATGATCTGCACCGTAGTTAATAATGGAATTTTATTACATGCAAAAAAAAAAATTTTTTCGAGTTGTAAATTTTGTTTTATTAAATAAATTTGTTTGATTTTTTCATTCATTGTTCATGTTTCCTCTTGATCATATATCTTAAATTGGTCATATTTACAATCATTTTGACATTCATTATATTAAGGTTATTTTGATTATATCAAGAGATATGGTCAAGAGAAGAGTTAGAAAGAGAGTTATTCTTCAACCAAGTCAAAAACCAACCCTTTAAATACATTTTTGAGTAGTACAGTTTAATTTATTAGACTATTTCAAATGGTTGCTTCCAATTTCTTAAATTCGAACCATTTGTTAATGTTAATGAAACAATTGTTTGTGAAGTGATTGTTGACAAAATGAGTCAAACCCACATTAAATGTTTTATTTTTAAATTCATGATTTTAATTGGTCAATCAATCAACAATTGCGTGGGTTAAATTTTTGTATTACACATTGTATAATAATAACAAACAATTATTTCATGTGGCTGAATGTAGAAGGTTGAGTTCCGTGTGCTGAAATGGCCTAGAGGAATTTCACTATGAAAAAATAACAAAAAAAAAAAAATTGGACAGCTGTCCTATTTATATGTTTCAAATTTAATAAAATAGACTATTGTCTTGGCCCAAGTGATGTTATTTTTTTGCAGAAGTGCAAAACCCAACTTAATTGAATTTTTATTCTCGCGTAGCACAGTATGCATGTTTTGTGACACAAAAAGCTCACATTGCATTCTCAGTTATAAGCTTGTTGAATTAAAATAAAATAATTTTCTTTTGTCATTAATACATTTGCCCATAAAAAAAATTGCAAGTCATGTACCCACTGATTTATCATTGGTCCAAATTATCTATAGAAACAATCAATTGTAACAATTACTACGATCTAAATCAATAAAAAAAAAATCAATTTTTAATTCTAAACAAAATGGCAACAATCCAAGAAATAAAAAACAATTTAAAGAAAGCTGAAAACTGGTTGGGGGTGTGGTGAAGGATTTGGAAGAATTTATGAAGAAGGAGAACTTGGAGTCATTTAAAGAAATGTGGGGAATGGAAGAGTTAAAAGGAAAGAAGAAGAAATTGGAGGAGAGTAAAGAGAGGTGGGAGAAGGAGGTGCAGGAGTGGTATAAAAAATTGCGTGAATGTAGAGGAAAGGTAATGAACAAATTTCATAAAAAAATATACAAAAAATTATTTTTTATTCATTCCATTTTTTTATTTATTTGTTTGTTTGGTATACTGTTTACTAACCTGCTTCTTTATTCTGTAAATTATCTTATTATTCTATATACTTTATCAATTTGCTTATCATTAATAATTATTATGAAATACTGCAACCATTTTAGATACAAATGAATTCAGAAAAAAATATACATCAAGGCTTGGTAAGAAAATATATACATTCTTTTATCTCTTTTATATTATGTATGACTTAAATTTTTTTTTTTTTTTTTTGGAAAAACAAAAAAACAATTTTTTTTTTGACATTAATTTATGGATTAGGTGG